CCCCGCGCGCCATCCGGGCCAACCCCCCCCCCCCCCCCAGGCCCCCCCCAGCCCCAGCCAGTCTCATTTTTGGCACAGCCTCGGGTTTTTTTTTTGCTCCACAAACCACCTCCCTGCGCTACCTGTGAGGAAACATCCTAGAAACGCCAGAAAACTACCACGTCCTCTCTGCAAACTCACAGACGTTTCTGTCCAGACTTAAAGAGCTTCGACCTTGCCTCTGTACTGCTCGCTTCTTTTTTAACAATAGGGGAAAGCATAATAGTTTATTTTAACTATGAAATATATTGCTATATTATAAAGGTTATTGTAACTTTCAATTATGGTTTTGTACCCAACCCAGTTGTCAGCAGGCAGCAACGCCAGCCTGCTGCCAAAAATGTCTGTTTCTGAGTACAGCCGCTGCTCCCAGCGAGGACGGAGGCCAGGGCTGGCAGAGGAGGGGTGCAGGACCCCAGCCAGAAAGGCTCCCCACACTCCTTATCCTTTACCCCCAGGTATTCGTTCCCATTACCTGGAAGCTGGCCTTTAGCAGGTCCGGACTCACCTAGCCCGACGGCACCGGAGCTTTGCTTCTCCCTAGGGAAAGCTCTGCCCCCTCTTTTCTCCCACGGTCTCAGCGATTTCTGGAAAGCCATTCCCCACCCGGTCGCCTCCTCCAGCTGAAGGAGGGACTCAGCTCCCTGGGCACGAGGGAGCTGTGCAAGAGCCAAAATGCCCCCTTTCCCCCAGGATAGAGGCTCTCGTGGAAGAAGCGGTGCAGGGCACGCTGCTTCCCTCCTCCGGCTGGACTTTCGGTACGTTTTGGCTCAGCACGGGCAGGATCCAGGCAGGCTTTGAACTAGGGAATCACTTGTGCCTAGGAAAGGGTGAGGGTGCAAACATCCTCCTCCCCCCGGCAAAGCTGGTCTGCGCCACGCCGGCCGCCGAAACGCGCTGCTCTGCATTTGGCCTGGGGACCTGCAGGCAGGCAGGCAGGCAGGACTGCTCCTGCCTGCTTTGGCTCCCCAGACGTGGAGTCGGGCCGTGCGGGGTTTGCTCAGAAGGAGGCAGGCAGAAATAGCATGCCTGCTTTTTCTTCTCAGGTCAACATCTAATTTCTGGGATGGGGGTATCGGCAGCCCTGCCCGGGTGACGTGAGCTGCTGCAGGCAAGGGCTGCGTTCCCAGGAGTGATCCCGCTCTCCGGGGTGAATTGCCCCGAGGGAACGCAGCTGCCGTGCCCAAGAGGTGTCCAGTTCGGGCTTCACGCCCTGCCCTGGGGAGCCACAGCTTTTGCTCCCTTCGACCTCAGGCTGCGATGGCGTAGAAGGACAAAGCCCTGAGCATGAAACACAAAACGTGATGAGGTTGCAGGGACTGCTCTGTCTCAGCCTTCCGGCTGACGTACTCCTTGAGCCTCAGAGAGCATCTCTTCCTTACCTCCAGCGCCTGAGCTGCTGGACCTGATCCCCATTGGATCAAGATCTGTGGGCAAA